TTTATGAAACGAGGCCCAGGACGACGTTACAGAGAAAAGTGCAGTCATACACGCAAACTGAAAGTAGCCGTTCAGAGGAGTACAATCAAGAGTACAAGAGTACAATAGTACCAGTCTTATCTGACCTTGAACGCAACACTGTCCGACCTAGGGCAAAATAACAAAAAGGAACAAACACTCAATCTTTAGTCTATCACACTCAACTGATAATAGTACATCTATCGAGTCCCAAAACCTGGGCATTGCATTGTGAAAACATGGCAAGATGTCAACAACAGATAAGATACAGCGTCTATCCCTACACGTTGCCACTATCAGACAGCTAGCTCGCTGCTGTTTGCGCTGACTAAGCGACGCTATTGCTCATCACACATCCTAAATCAACTGCGTACTTCATAATTATCTACCGTGCCTCTTCCGTCTCATACATATAGCTTGAGCTCACCTGTCCTCGAGCGTTGGTATCAAATAACACCTCTCATCTCGGATCAAACATCCTCATTGATAGTTCACGGTCTTTCCTACTTCACCCCCCCCCCCCCTCAGAAGACCCCCCTCACCGACCGCTATTTAGCCCGACTCTCCACACGTGTACTTGACACACCCCCTTTTCAACACACACCCCTCCCACAAGATACCCTCTGCCCGGCGACTCGCCCCCAACACGTGTCTAAGACGCGACACCATTGCACGGGACCACTCTACTCCGGTTACCACCGGTTGATACTGCGTCGCGCCCTTTGCCCCAACTGTTTACATCCTGTCTGGTCAATGTAGTTACAGGAGGGGGGTCATGCTGTATGAGATTGAACTCTGAACGACCCTGGGTCCGACAGGTTTAGTTTTGATGGCGGCGAGGCACGCCACCATTCCCAGAGGTAGCCGGCGCCGGCTGGGAACGGTGGCACGCCTCCGAGAGGTCACTAGGTACAGACTTGTTTGAGCATTGGATGGTCGAATAGAGAGCGTGCTCGGTACAGCCCTTGGGAGCGATTGAGTTTACTGTTTTAAGTATTTTTTTTTCAGTTACCCTACGACCGCCACTGTAAAGGAGCTGAAGCGCCCGTAGTCGGCTAAAATAAATTCAAAGAATACAAAGCTACCCTAGCCAACTGGCACTTGAGCAAGTTTCTCAAAGGGGTCGTTGTGTCAATAATTTGGTTTGTCATTAGATCACTGAACCTTATCCGAAAAGCCTCGACCTATCCATTGCAGCAGCCAGGTCACTTCACCCACACCACGGCAGTGGCCCAGGTCACTTAGCCCATCGCACGTGACCCAGCTCCCATGGTAGGGACCCAGGTCACTTGTCCCAGCCCAGGCCACTTGGTCCAATGACCCAGGTTACTTGGCCCAGCCCATGGCGGTGACGAGCCGGTGATCCTCTCCGGCCTGTTCCCTGGACACGGGCTGCAGACGCTTCTTCACCCAGGCGGGCATCGAGCCCTGCGACACGGGACAGCACACTGGTTAATGTTTGTCTTTAGTAAACACTATACAAAAGGTGATTTACACTCTGACGCTTGATATACTTTTTCTACACGACATACGGCACATTTGTGAGAGCCTCTTTGTTTTTATAATGCCTTATTTATCACCCCAATGTCAATTGGAAGTTTTAATCTTAATTTGTAATAGAGGCCATTTGATTACAGTGGATAAATTGGGCTGCAACATATCGCAACGAATGAGTCATCCTACCCTAGCTGCCAAGAGCCTTAATAAAAGTCCATGGCAGCCCGTCTTACCTTGCTGGTCCAGGCGAGTCGTGGGTTGTAGAGCACCAGACAGACCATCAGACAGGCCACTGCGACTCCGACGGCGGCCACCGGTCTGGTCAGCAGCTGGTACAGGCACGTCATGTTCACCACGTGCACCACGATGTCGAACACCGTACCTGAAACGGTGACGGAGGAAGGGGGAGGCGAGTAGTTAGCGCATGCCGTTCTTATTCAGGCTGTGTTTTCTTAAGTGCGCAGTTCACACGATGATGCATGCATGCTCTTTTCCGTTCAAGTATGGAACGTCTGTTCCTATCTGACGCAATGCCGGAAAAACGGGAGACATTTCGTCATCAAATTGAATTATTAATTATTTTATCTTGGATTGATTTTTGAACATTATCAGTTGTTTATAAGCTTTAAAAGGCGCTGATGAGCTCTGAAGTCGGGCCATTAAATCGCAACTCATTATCACCATCATCATTATTATGGGTTTCCAATCAGCATTGAGTAAGTCCCCCCCCCCCTTTTCCGGCGCCTGGCGTCGCCGCTGCGCTGACCCAGCATCAGGTCGGGCTGCCACCGGCTGCGGTCCCAGTCCAGGCTGCTCCACGACACGACCCGTTTGGCGAACCACGTCTGCTCCCAGCAGAAAAAGTAGCCCAGGTGCTGGATGTTCTGGAGCAGACCGAGCGGCCACAGCCAGGGCAGCAGCCAGTAACTGATGAGCGCCACGGTTGTAGCGTCTATCAGAAAATAGATCCTGTGGGGAGAGCGGAGGGAGGGACGGTGAAGGCCAGAAAAAAGATCCTGTGGAGATTGGAGGGAGGGACGGTGAAGGGGATGCTAAGGGACCTACCTCAGCCGTTTGAGAGGTGGGTGGTGAGCATGAGATAGTTAATGATAAATTGACGGATAGTTAGTGACGTTGAATTCTGCTCGTCACCTTTTGTATCCTGATTCCTGTTATCGATGTTATTCGCTGTGCTTCGTCGAGTTCGTTTGGTGCGAATGAAGGTCACTGAAGTACCCGGAGGGAAGCTTTACCGTTAGCTCCGATTGAGCCGTTTTAGATATGCGCTGGCGCACAACAGCCGGGCTTGTCTCATTAACTCTACGCTCTCTAAAAAACATGAGAGTAGACCTAACAGTGAGATTTTATGTCAACAACAGAGTGATCCATGGAATATAAAACTGCAGCATATCATCAACTTCAAAGAAACGATGAAAAACAATCAAACCTAATGGCAGATGCTTTGCTGTAATTTATGGCTTACCTGGCGCGGACGAGGTCTTTCCTAGGCAGCTGTCTCCACGCGAACAGCACCATAATGTGCACGATACAGTGGTAAACCTCCACCGAAAACAGGATCGCTGGCGCCGGGGACACCATCCTGACGGGCCGCTGAGCGTCACTGAGCTGCCAAAAGGACGTGCGGTAGACTGATCTCAGTCGACACTGATGAGTTTCACTCGACACCAGCTCGACAGGACGCACAGTTCGCTCAGTCCCCGCCTGTGACCAGCCCTGTGTCGGCTGTCGCGCGTCGCTCCGGACGGATGCACTGTCGTTCCGACGGCGACCCGTTACCGACTGAGGTCGCCACTCGCCGGGGGTGTGTCGGGGGCCCGCCGTCCGGGTGGCGGCGCCAGACACCCGTCCCGCTCCGCCCCAATCCGCCGCGGGCCGGCGCTGGCTGCTGCGGCCTTGGCGGCTGGGTGTTGATGTCCGCTCTACATGACTGGTGTTTATATGAAGAGATTGCAGGGCATCGGACAGTGTGGTGTTTTTGGAGATTCCCGGGGCTCCTACGCGCCGGGGTTATTCCTAGCCCAGGGGTTAATGACCGTGTTTATATCTGTAGGGACTTCCAATTAAAACATCGCTGAAATATCCGTTTACCTATATTCCTTTGCATGCGACTTCATCGTGTTATTTTACACTTCAATAGAATATTTGCTGTACCTATTTTTGTTCCGCATTGCCTACGGATAGAGCAGTCTACCAAACTACGCCGAGTCGAGTTATCATATGAGGTGAGGTGAAAATTCGATGCGCTTATTTGAATTTCTGTGTGCTGATATAAGTGAAAGCACTGGCTAATTTATGCACCGTCCTGAGCGAGAGGCATGTGACTAGCACTCATCAGCATATTTGACTTCTCAAGAGCGACCTCTACACCAGCTATGAAGAGCGCCCTCTACGACAGCATATACGCTGCTCTTGATAGCGCTGCCCTCTGCAGAGTGCAAACTGCAATTCTGCATACGGTCCGAGACTCTGAATGCCGCGCCTTCTGACGGGATAAATGGCATACGGCGGGTGGGTGAGTCTGTCGCTGCACCGTCTGTATATTGCAAGTGTGACACAATTTATAAATGCACCGTCTATGTGTTGCGGTACAGTCTATTGATACACTGTCCATGTATTGTGGCACAGTCCATCATACACTGTTGACGTGTGCTAACACATTCTAATAATAAATAAATGCACCGTCTATTGTCTTTGCATTGCGGTGCAGTCCATCGCTACACCGTCTATGCGCTCTGGCAAATCTTAGCAATGCATCGTCCATGACATGTGTTGCGGCAAATCTATCAGCACACCGTCTGTGTGCTCTGTTACAGTCTAATCAATGCACCGTCAATTGTTACGGCACAGGCTATCGTAACACCAATCTATTTATTGTGCTATTGCTACACTGCCTAATGCCTATCATGCATTGCAGTGCAGTCTATCGATATACCGTCTATGCTGTGCGGCACAGTCTATCGTCACACCGCACATACACTGTCTATGAATTGCGCAAACAGTAGCTACAGCTATATCGCTGCACGGCCTCGAGGTTTGTTTTGGGATCTGCATAGTGCTCGTATATTCGTTTTTGAAACGTTCACGGTGGATTTATGCTTATTATTAGTTACGGTCTCTCGTCCGTCGACGGTCACTCAAGTCATATGACAGGTCACTTGGGCCTTATCTCCCAGCAACAACCGGCAATGCACATTATTGACACCTTTGAGTCTAGCATACAGCAGGGAAACCCGTAAGGGCTGTTTCGGGGAGACACGTCCCTATTTTGTATGTTGAATTAAAAATGTGTGACTGCATTGCTGGCGTCACAACATGCAGCAACTTTTCTACAAAAAAGTCGAGTAAAACTGCAAATCCGACTCCCAACTCCTCTCCCCCATGTTCCAAATCCCACAGTTCACCCTATTCCCCGTCTCTCTGTCTCTCGGACCGCGGCGGTGGCGCCCCCGGCGGCGGCCGCCCGCCGCCGCCCGCCGCCCGGTCAGGTGGCCCCGAGGTGGCCGGCGCAGGGCAGTCGGGGCGGCGCGGCGTGCTCGGACGGACCGTAGGTGACCGACAGTCGACATCGGCCGCGCAGTGGGGAGACATGTGGTGCGCTGCTGCTGCTCTGCTGACTCTGCTGGTCGTCTCCGTAGGTGGGTTCAGTGGGAATCGGGGGGACCTGGGGGACCAGTGACCTGACCTTGGGGACTAGTCACCTGACCTGGGGGACTAGTGACCTGACCTGAGGACCTGTCGCATAACCTGGGGGACTAGTGACCTGGGGACCTGTCATATGACCTGGCGGACCTGCCACATGGTTTGGGCGACCTGGCTTATGCTCCGTCATTCCGACCTGTCACATCACCAGAGTGACCTGTCACAGACCTCTTGGCCGTTCAGGTAACCTTGCTGATTCGTTTGGTGATCTCAATGGCCCATTTGGTAGCTTGAGGATTTAGCCATAAGGCAACCTGAGAAGTTTCCAGATGAACAATTCGTTTCACCTGGACAAAACATTTACTCGGTAACGTTGCCGTTAGCACCATGAAAGGACCTTTACGATACATCCGGTAACCTGCTGGGCCCATTCATTCATCCGTTCATTCATTCATTTACCCAGTGTCAGACAATCTGTCAGATAAGACTGTGTGAGTGAACTTCGGATCAAACTCTACTAATCCGTCGTCTGCTAGTGTCCCATCATATTTGCACTGCATCAGTTATACTTAATTTATTTGCGCCGTTAACCATCATCGAAGCTGTCTATCTCACTGTCTCTATGACAAATCGTTGGACAAGTCTGATAACCGTGGCATAGCTCGACTGACAGGACGGTGGGTCCACGTGGACCGGTTCCAAATCTGTCAAACCTGTCAAATGACCTGAGCGGGTCAGAGGCGAGAGAGGGGATGTTGGGGGCAAACTGACATTCAGACTTCATTCACTGGCGACAGGTGTTTGGTGCAGCAATGAGTGAACATTTTGGTTGGCGTGTCCGTGCTTGCAACTTTATAAGAAGTTAAGAACATAAGTTGCAAATCGTTACCTAACTAGTACGGTTTAAGCTACCTGTGGGGGACCTGGCGCGACAGTGTGGCAGGCTCCTGGTTAAGCAGGCTCAGCTGCAGGCATCATGGAGTCTAAGTTGAAACGCATTCTCTGTCTGCTGTCTGCTACATAACTCTCCTTGATAAATGCGTCCATCTGTTAATGCCCCATGCCACGTTACGGCATATCGATCTACGAGCTGCGTCTACCGTTCCCTGCAGCGGAGATGAACAGCATGTGGCTGTTGTTATTCATGGCATTGCGGTCCGTTCCAATTCTACCAGACAACTACCGGTTGTTACAGGAGTGAGTTACTGGCCTGGGCAGCTGTTCCGCCCACACACGGGCAATCCCTCACGTTATGAAGTTTCCGACAGAGAAACTGGGCAATTGTCTGTTTGGCTGGCTGGCATTGCCTCTTATCAGATCTCATCAGATCCCGGCTTATACAGTAATGTAGGAATGTTTGGTCTAAGAAGACGTGATCTGTACGTATCCGCCCACACAACATAGCCCGTTTAAAATGCAAACCTGTGCACTATGCAGGCCGGCCTGGCGGTCTATGAGACTGACAGACCATGCCGTGGTGCCTCTCTTCCTAAGTCCCGTGGCCAAGAATCATCCAGGGAGCTTATCGCCAGGGTAAATACTCCCTCCCTGGCCCGGCGGGAGAGGTGTTTATTTCAGAGTTGGAAGAGAGTAGAGCACGGTGGCTGTTCTACTGGCTTCAGTCCACATATTGAAGATCCTCATCTACCCTCATCTGACCTGAAGCCTGAACTCTTTCGAGTGGTTGAGCAGAGGGAGCGATGCCGATCCGTTACAAAAAATTACACGCGGCTTTTTTGTTCCATAGTTTGTACTGTTCACCATTGCCTACCTGTGTGATCGATTGGTTCAGCTCAGAATTGAGACTCACAGTCGTCTGTATTGCTGGATTAGGGCAGGGCAGGCGAGATGACGCCGGTGATAAGAGCCCCGGCCCCCAGCTCACGCGGTCGTGCCATGGTAAATCAGGTTTTGGCGTCTCGGTCTACCGGTAGTTTCCTTGTTTATCGTTAGACATGAACAACGATTGTGACTGGCTTTTTAGTCTTTGGTGAAGTCACAAAAATGGCTACGACACAGTGCAGCGAGCCGGTGATTGTCTGATTTACGAGAGGTAAGACTTTGTCCAACAAAATTTTAATTGATAAAGCCAAACCTCTTGGCAGACAATGGGATAATCCGATGGAAGGAATGCAGCCTAATGAACTGCTTTGAGCTCTCAGTATGACTTATTTCGACGCAGCTAACGATATGAAAAGACCACCATGAATCATTGCAAAAAAATTGTTTCAATAGTTTGAAAGCTTTAAGCACATCATCGGCATCTGACAGAAAAGCTACGTTCTTCATCATTCGAAGTTGCAGTGTGTACTCGTTTTTGCCCTCCGGCCTTGACCGGCTGGGTTCGGTGGTGCAGCTGCTGCTTCCGCCACCTGCCGTGGCCGGCGGGGGCGGGGGCGGCGGTCTGTTTGCTTATCTGCAGAGGATTCTCACAGCGCTCGCCGCCGCCCGCCGCCGTCGTCGCAGCTACTGCCGCCCGCTGCAGCCTCTGCCCTCAGCCAGGCGGTGTGGCGGTCGGCCGGTCACAGATTGGCTTTCCACGACGAGATGCTCCAGCATCGGATTATACTCGCGTTGATGTTATTTTATTTTGGATCACCGCTTTGATTTCTTTCCTTACCTCACCTTTTCCTCACATTATGTTCAGTTTTGCTTATATATTCGCATTTCTCGTTGTGTCTCGAGTTATGTCCGTTTTTCTCCCGCGGCTGCTTCTCTCTTCCACGTTTTTTTCTCTCTTTCTCTCCATCTCTCTCTCTCTCCTATATTTTACGTGCGCTGACCTCTACCTTTTGCCCCTTTTCTTCCTTTTCTCTCCACTCCGCCCTCTCCCAAATCACCGCAGTGCGGCGCCGTTTGCCGCAGTCCGTCTGCCTCTCTGCCCCGCAGTCGTCTCGGCACCGTCTCGCCGCAAACGGCCCGGGGCGTCGTCACCTGGTCCATTACTCAGCTATTCGAGGGTGGCCGTCAATTTATCGCCGCCATTTGCATGACCGGGCCAAGGGTCAGAGCTGAGAGCCGGGAAGACTCTCAGCTCTCTGCCGGCGCCCGGCGCCCGGCGCCCGGCGCCCGGGCTGCAAGGAGCGCTCATTGGGCGCTCATTGGGCGCTTTGATGGCGCCCGGACCCATCCCGGGCTCCCTGGAATGGCCCCCGGGTCATTCCGCGGCGGTGCCGTTTAACCCTTGTGTCGGGGTGTGCGTGCCTTACTGTCGTGGTGACGCCCCTACAAATGAACCCCTTCCCAGGTGGGTGGCGTGTGAATACAATGCCTCACAACGATTCCAGCAGAATAATTTACCTGGATCGGAGATCTGGCCTGCTTTTGAGGCGTCGGAAACGGATAGTTTGTTATAAAATGCACGGAATATTTGACTTCCAAGCGATGGCATGCGTGAGGATGATTCATATCGATGATGAGGTGCATGGCATCTTATGGAATATGCTATTTGAATCAGTGTTGGGTGTAAGTCAATTCGCTCGCAAGTCTAAATTATTTGCATTAATTTCGAGGGTGTACGCTGCACACACCACACAGTGTTCGGTCATGCATTCCAGGTTGTTGACTCGGACGTTGATGTCAAGGCTAGAAAAGCGCTAGCCTTTTCCTCATCTTTTTGTGAGTCAACACAACATTTCAAACACTTCACCTGCAGCATGGGGCTTCTTGACCGGCACATTTTTCACTTTTACTGCAATCGGATTAAATGTTTCTTGCCCTTTGTCGCCATCCATTGTGTGCCAGTAAGTAGGTGTGCTATGGCCGGGACCGAGGGACCGAATGAAACACGATCGGCCGCAAAAACGCTCTAATAACATCACATCCCCGGACGGAAGAGAGTGGACAGGACGGGGTGAGAAAGAGGGGAGAGAGAGAGAGAGAGAGAGAGAGAGAGAGAGAGAGAGAGAGAGAGAGAGAGAGAGAGAGAGAGAGACGCGGCCAGACAGCGGTTTTTGCTTGGTTTTTGACTACGTCAGTTGAACGCCTGCCCTCGAGGCGGGGCTCTAAATCGGACACCTGAGCCCAGGTGGGTGCACTCCAGTCCTTTTTTATCTTCGATCATATCGCGGAGCAAAGAGAGAAAATTACCGAACGCGCGGCATCTTTCTGCAGGAAAAACGAAAATGAAAGGAAAGCTAGAACATTGTTCTGCACCCTCCTTAAGCGTCGAAGAAGCCCCCTTATTCTACAGACATGGCAAGCTCCTGAAGCTCTAAAGTCGGATGCCAAAGAGTCCCGTTTGGTCCATTAGGTCAGCGACCCATTCCACTCTGTGTCGTCCTCATATTCTCGCCAACAAAACTGTGATCACATTCCTGCTGTGGGCGTTCCCTCACCGTGTCCCATGAGCCCACTCACGAGAGCTGACTGCTCCGTATGCGTCACGCACCGCGACCGAGCAAAAACCGAGTCTGGCGGGATAAAAAGCTGTGTTCTGATGACTCCAGTTACAAGAGGTACTCACGCGGGTTGTGCTTGACCAACTTGACAGATGGGTGCAACCGCTGGGTGTGTGTAGCTGTAAAGGAGAGGTTAAAATATGTTTTGCGTGAAAGAAGACATGAGACAGTGCAGAGCCTAAATGGCACACCTATAACCGAATTGTTACTCTCAAGCGATCTGACTAGTACAGCGAGCCTATTGTATTCTAATAATGTTCCTATACGATCAATATCGCGTTTGGGATATGCTGAGATCATGGACAATGCTGACACGTTATACAATAGCACATATATTTTGTACTATTGACAAGAGTCATTCGCTCTATATCCACTCGGTCACTACGAGCCCGGTTTCTATGCCACTTGACTCACGTGATACCGCACCCGGCTCGTCACGTGAAGTTCGCTCCCTTTCACCGTCTGCACACCTTTTCCTTGAACGGTTCACCATGTCCCTGTGGCCTGGCGAATTGAGAATCAGTGACTTTGCAGACCTCCCGTCTCCCGTGATTAAATCCATCAATCTTGCTTCGATGTCGGTCGTTCTTGCACGC